CCCTTGTGCAAAGTAACAAGGTAAGTAAGTAGGGAAGTCAAAAGGTACTACTTAGTCTCAGAATTAACAATCACCGCTGTTCTATCAATAGAAAGCGCGCAGATTTGCTTACACCCAGACATGTCAAAGTGCTGAGCCATATATGATAGGAAAGGACAAACAAGTTGTCTTTATTAAAAAATTGGAATGGGCAGTATCAGTTAAACAGGAAACGACACTAGATCATTCAGCGACAAGCCAGCTATCAAATTTGGGGTTTTCCTCTGTATTATGTTCAGTAATTTATCTTCAGGACCCCTTGAAACACTTGAGAACTTTGATTCTTTTCAAACATATTTAATTTTGCTTTTGTTGGCGGTGTCTCCCTGGGCTCCCATCTTTATATTAACTGTCACCTTACAGTTGATATCTAAAATTAATCCATTAACAATTCTGTCAATAACATATTTGCGGCCCAAACTTTTTTTATATTCCACGATAATGCACCAGTCAGGATCCGTCATTGGCGTGATTTTCTATAAAGTGCATATACAGCGGTAAAAACTAAAACTTTAGTCGATACAGTAATCTTTTTACAGCTAAATGAAACATGTAATGTGCTGAAAAAGGAGACTTTCAAAATAAACAGATACCTTCCTTTAATAAGGTAGATAAACTTAAGATACATTCACGTTTATGGCAACTACGTCGTTCTACGTGTAAAAGTGTATGCATTAATAGAAACAGTATGACAAATATATATTCCACTACAGTCTCAATACATAATTAAGAAGACAATCTTGCACAAAAATCATGAACACTTTTTCATAATACCAAAATCATTTAAGCCTTGGTATGGAACTTTTGTACTGTACATTAAGGCATGATATGACTGAAAACGCCACGGTTAAAATTCGTTGTGTATTATTGGCTTTGTTGTCGCTCTGCCTCAATAACGTATATATATACAATGGATTTTCTTTGTGGAGAACGTTCTCCTTAGAAATTAAACGTCATTACCTTTCTGATGTCATTAATGAATGAGTTTAAAGAAATCAAGTCGATTTTTTTATAATGTATTAATTTATTATTTATTTCGTGGTATTTATAAAGACACAAAATAAGAAAATGGAGATAAAAAAAGGATAATGAAAACATAAAAATTGAATCGTTAGTGCATGAGGTAGAAGGTGTGATTCAGTGATCGCAAAAAAAGATGTCACCTTTCTCGTATAGGAAGATCCGTTTACATACAATGTAAATAAACGTCCAGATTGGCATTTCATAATGCTGTTATATATTTTCAATTAAAATGAGGTTATTTTGATTAATATAATGTTTTACCGCGTTTACCACATGTTTGTAAATATTCTTTGAACCACATGTCTATACTTTGTACAACGTCAAATTTCTCGTGGGTTTCATTGGTTTCTCAGCAATAAAAGATATATTTTTTTTATATATTTGCTCATTATATCTTCGTATTATTGTAGTTTTTTCTTTGCTTGTATTGGCTTGCATTCATTTCAACCTTTCTTTATTCTCCTCGGCAAAAAACCCATTTAAGAAGCATAATGTAGTCTAACAAGCACTTGTCATGGATGAGTGACCATCACGTCTCGTCTCACAATGTACGCACATGCATGAGTGAAGTTTCCAATTGAGAGTCTTCACATGACACATAAACAGTTCCCGACAAAGTTATAAAAGTTACGAAAGTATACTTAGGCCACAGGCATTGGAAAAAGGTGACTGGCCCCCCTCACAATAGAAAACTGCTACATTATACCTGGAGCTGAAATGACATCGTCCATCATGCCTCAAGGGCGGTAATCCTAGTCGATATCTGATATCTAAGATTTCACCTAAAATAAATATCTTACGTAAATTTAAATTCTCTTTGGACAGGTATAGTCTCCAAACTATGTACTACACTCTTATTCGACCTATATAAGACTTTGCAAGGTGGTGTGCTGCGTATCACTCTAGGGGTCTGTACACGCAAGGTAAAGGTCACTTTGAAGTCAAAGGTCAAATTCATTTTTCTGAAAATAACTTCTGATTACCTAAGACAGCTCAATGAAACTTTAAGGATAGATGTAGGATGAGAAAGAAATGTGGCGTGTACCACTCTAAGGTCCGTTTACCGAAGGTCAATGTAAATGGCGCATTGAAGTCAAAGGTCAAATTAATTGTATGGGAAGTATCTTTTGATATTATTCAGGGAGCTCAAAGAACTTTTAGGTATATTTTTCGGATACAAATCCAGTATGTAACATATCACTTTCGAGTCTGTCTCATTGCTGATTGAGCGGAAGAGACATTCTCCGTAGCCGTGTCGGTAGGGTGGATTACTAATAATGATCAATCGTTTCCAGGGAATCCATGCGTAGGTTCTAACTTAATCATTAGGATATCATTAATTTACTTACGTCACAATTAAAACATTATATCTTATTTAACCAAATTCAAAGCATCGAGCCACCTGAAGATTTAGATGTACGTTTTTCACTTCTTAATGAAAAAACCCCACACATTGCTACGCCCTAAATGCATACGTGTGTCTTTATTCTATTCAATGTGATGAAGAAGTTAACATTGTGTTTCCTCGTGTGATATTCCAGATTAGGATAAAAATAGTCGAGACGACTCTTTTTATATTTTTTTGTGCATAAATGCCATCATTAAATGGTTAGTCAATTGCATGGTTTTACACACTACTCATTTTGGTTCTGGCACAAAAGTGTATTATTTTGTTCACAAAAAGAGGAAAAAAGATCCTTTTGTATTACTAAAATTCAAGAAATACTTTTTTCAAACCCGGGGGAAAATCCTTGATTTTATAATAAACTTTGCAAAAAAGCGCATAATGGTATTTCCATATCAATACTTTTTATTGCCTGCTATGTTTCAACACAATTTTGAAATTAAAATAAACAGAAGGTCAATCTCCTTATAATAAAATTATCGATCTCCTTACAATAGAGTTATCAATCTCCATTCAATAGAGTTATCAATCTCCTTTCAATAGAGTTATCAATCTCCTTATAATATAGTATCAATCTCCTTACAATAGAGTTATCAATCTCCTTACAATAGAGTTATCAATCTTATAACACTGTTATCGATCTCCTTACAATAGAGTTATAAATCTCCTTACAATTTTATCGATCTGCTTACAATAGAGTTATCAATCTCCTTACAATAAAGTTATCAATCTCATTACAGTATAGTTAAAGAAATGTCTGTGCGACGTGATTTAAACAATAACTGCTGAGTGCAAGAGTGATGCCTCCAGTATAGGAACATGGCACTTCAGTATTTGGCGTGAATTTCTGCTCAAATTATCTTATATATGGATCTCACGGGAGCATTAATTTGTCTCAACGGATATTGTTCCATTCTTTCGTCAACGCTGCATCCAATTGAATAGGTTTACGCATTAATTTGGGTTATTTGGCGGGTCTTGACATTCACGTCTTTCAAGGTAATCCCAACGATGTGGAATCGGATACATGTCGGGGCTGTATGGAGGCCGTTCTAGAGGTTGAACTTTATTTTCCGTGAAAAAATCACAGTAGATTCTTATCATCTGATGGTAATAGGGAATTAAATGTAAATTTATTCAAGTTGCAACGACAACTAGTTGCCATTTTCCCAGTTTATACCAATCCATCATGTCGGTCAGGATAAGGATGTACATGTACATATGGTCTAAGTGTCGGAGGAAACAAGAGTACACAGAAAACACTTACGTGGTCAGGCTGGTGACTAATATATCTTTTAATATCTGATTTGTGAATTTAGCCTCTGCCGTTTTTGTAAAAGACGAGTACGCTGTTATTTGCGTCGCCTTTCTATCGTGGCAGATTTAGATCTACCTGTTTCATTCTAACTATTTGTTTTGTATTTCAGAGGGATTCACGCTATCAACAGTTTACTTTTTTTTACCAGCAGTTATTATTTTCCTTATGTAACAAAATAAAGGCATAACAAACGAGTTTGTTTTCTAATTTGATGACAACAGCCTGTACATGTGCTTATTCTTTTTGGAAATAGCCTTTATCCATTCCTTTTAAAATACCTGGTCATTTATTTCAAAATTTCATTTGGTACACTTCAAATTGCATTGTTAACACTTATTGGATGACATTCAGATTATTTAAACACAATGCACTGCCCAAATTGTTGAGAGAATGCTGATGCAATGCCTGGACGTAGCGCAGACAATGCGATACACGCTGGCATCCTTAAAGATGTCTAAACATTTAAATGGAAAGCCGAGCGGCGTTATTATCATATAGTCTTATAACTGCATGGATGATATTACGTTGAATAAATTCAAAAACAAGAGAAAGAAATAATGTAACCAAGCCATAAGTAGGTCCAGATAAAAAAATGTCTATATTTTTACTTTCAGTGGGATTAATGTCACCACAACATTACTACTTTAGACCTCACAACCTGTCTTGGAACGAAACAGAATCTTACTGCACGGGTAAAATGGACTGCATCTTTAGGTTTCACCATGGTGAAAGAAAAAAGTACACTTTTTAATATTTAAAAAATGTTATTATTTCACTCATTACATCTACAGTGTGTCTAATACCTATCTTAATCAATTACTTCTTTACCTTAAAGCATGCTAATGATAAAACATGTAGTGCAATGAAATTGAACACAACAATTTTAGTACTCTATTTTGTCAAGTGACATAATGCTTTGATTAATGAGAAAAGAGTATTAAAGGATAAAAGAGCAAACTTGTCCTGAATACAACATATCACCATGCATATTGATCCATAAAGTGATATTAATTGTTAATAATTTGTTATTTTCGCCATTAACAAATAAAATCATTTGTATCATCACTTTATACTGTCTTCCATATCATGTAATTTTCTTTTTTTAGGTGTCGATTTCAGTACCGGACTGGAATTGCAACCGATGAACTAATTTATTTACGTAGTCAATGTACTAGCTTGAAACCCCTCTTAAACAGATACAGTGTATGGAAAAAAATGGATGGAGTGGAAGAACCTAATAGCTTCCCCAATAAGAGCTGTGTTGCTCTAAAGTGCGATAGGACCCACGCTGCAAAGTGTGATACACCGTCCATAAATATAGGTCTATGTGGAAACGGTAACGTATACAAAATACAATAAGGCCTATCTAACAGAAGGATCCAATGAAAAAAGTGTTAATAGACAAATGAAATTTTATGAGTTCTCTACAAAATAATTTTTGTAGTCTCCATTTTCAAATTAACGCAAGAAAAGTATTCTACTTTAAAATCAGACTGTTGCAAAGCAAAATGTGACACGGTATTTGCTATACGATATCAAATATTAAACTAGTATTGTACGGTAAGAGTGGCGCTGAAGTAAAAATCTATGACATATATTTAAGTGAGACTTACCGGGCCTATGATTTATCTTGCCTGCAAATGTTGGTCAACTGATATTAGTAAAATGAGCATAGAAGTTGTCAGTGGTATTATTATTATGTATTCACTCTATCTATCTATCTATCTATCTACTTTGATATTGATAGATACGGTAAAAGGTCTGTCACGATCTTGTTATTGTGCAGCCTCAAAATCCAAGGGATTACGCTGTCTTACCTTCTGTTTACCCCTGGATAATGTCTCGCCAAATTGAAGACTCTGAACTCCTATAGTTGATACAAGTTGACAAGTATACATCATAGAAATTGCGCGTAACGATACAATAAAGCTACTTTGAAATGGTGCGTCGCTTCTGGGTAATCTTCAAAGGACTGGTATAAGCCTAGCGATTTGTCAGAGATTTGTTTTACCACAGCTAACCGCTTACCTTCTATTTTGTCAAGATATATTTCAGGGATACAGAGACGATAGTGTAAAACTGGCAGAATCATAGAAATAGTTATTGGAACACCTTTGATTATGGTTCAAAACTGTTAATATTCTATCCGTATAATGCTGGTCTAGGCAAGTTAAACAGCAATGAAAAATATGCTTTTAAATTTCGACTTTATCTGTCTTAGTTTAATTATAAAATATCGTTGAAGATTTCCAAACAGATAAACATGTTGTTCCAATTTTATCATTAGATTACCATTCTGTTAATATTGATTTCTGTTATAAAAAATCCCCTTCTCAATTTTAGATGTTCCAACGACACAAAGTACTTACTCATCTGAAGCAACGCCATGTGTAAAGACCACGACACAAAGCACACACTCAGCTGTAGTGACGTCAGATGTCAAGACCACGACACAAAGCATACACTCAGATGTAGTGACGTCAGATGTCAAGACCACGACACAAAGCACAAACTCGACTGAAGTGACGTCAGATGTCAGGACCACGACACAGAGCACACATTTGGCTGAAGTGACGTCAGATGTCAAGACCATGACACAAAGCACACGCTCAGCTGTAGTGACGTCAGATCTCAAGACCACGACACAAAGCACACACTCGGCTGAAGTGACGTCAGATGTCAAAACCACGACACAAAGCACACACTCGGCTGAAGTGAATTCAGATGTCAGGACCACGACACAAAGCACACCCACAGCTGGAGCAATTGCTGTTGTCCCGACGATGTCTACCAATGTTGTGCCCACAGCTTACAATAACACTCTGGTTGATGGTATCTGTGAAGAGTGTTGTGTCAAAAACAATAAGAGCAACCAACTCAGCCATGAAGAGTTGAAAAGTGTCATAAAAGAATTGAAATCTCAGCTGGCTGTAAACAAAAACAACTTGTCAACAAACCGCCGGAAACTCATCAGTGTTTACGACTCTCGGCCAAGCAGTGTCGCCATGGGAGGTGTGGCTATAGCCATTATGATTGTAATCCCCGGTATCATCGTTATCCCAGACATGGTCAACCTTGGCAGGTTCTTCTACAGACGGCAAAATAAACTCTTAATCTAGACAGACAAGGGAAGGCAACACTCGCAGAAACTCTAGAAGCTTCAAAAAAAAGAGAGGACATAAGGAAGAATAGAATAGCTTGAGACGCAGAAAGACTACGTTTGAGTCCATTGTGACACCATTATTGAGAGGAAAACATGTACATTTAACTGACATCATTATACAGACAGAATGATCGTATGATTGCATGGTTATTTACCTTGATTTTGCTGATTTTTCATATAAAAGAATCCCTCTACATTGGCTTTTAAAATTATAATTATTTTAACAGCAATATTTATTATTTTATCTTCAAAGCCGGTTATATGGCACCAGTGGTATGGTGTTTATTATGATCTCAACATATCCGTGACGCCGACACTCTTGTGTAAAACTAGATTTTTTTATGCCTTAAAATAGCAACTTCGATTACAAATGTACAAGTTGTTGATATGAACTTAACTTTCTTCTTAACAATTTCCCAGTTGGTTAATATTTTTGTTTCTGTTTTTGTGTGTGTTTTTTTGCCGATAACGGTATACACATACAACTTCAAATGTGATCTTATACTGCCCCACAATAGGTTAAACTCTAGAACATTCTAATGAAGTTTAACGTACATACAGTTTTCCCTTTAGAACCCCTTTGTTTGTTCCCCTGATGAAAATCATCACTACGCATTGGAAACTAACTTTTTCCAGTTTTACTATTGCTTGATAAATCGTTCTTAAAAGACAATAGTAATTTTGACGAACTTTTATGAAAAATACAAAAGGAAATAAATAAAAGAGTGAAATCAGTGTGACTATCGGTGGATTCGAACACTGAACCTCAAATTGTTATACTATCTATCTAACGAACAAGCTTCCTGGTCAATAGAAGTAACCTTGCCCAAATTTTGCTGCTATATATCAAAAAAGAAATTCAGGGTAACTTACTGCAGCATACATTTACCTTCAGTATGACTGGGCCAGGAATCGCAGTATGTTCGAACGACGGTATCATGACTTGAGGTTGAGGGTTCGAATCCTTCGCTGGCTTCATTACATTCTCCCTCTTCAGTGTTTTCGTATTTTTAAAGTAAAACAACAAAGCTTAACACAAATTAACTTTCGTATTTAGATATTTATGAATTTGCGTCGATTCTTTATATCAAGAAGCATATGTTGAAACGGGAAGTTACAGCAAAAGGACATTAAATGTGAACAAAACCAAAGTATATTAATGCAGTGATATGAATTGGAAATCCACATTTCATTAAGAAAAGTAATGTACGAAGGTCGAATGGAAGCTTTTTATTCGGAAAATACTTTTATATTGGCTAGGGATAATTGGAGTGCAGAACGTTACATGTTTTGTTAACGATATGTACGCTATAGGAAATATCAATCAATATAAATGCTATATACAATATCGGACACCAAAAAATCAGATATCGTCACCGTAATACTGTCGTATCAGTTGCAATCGTTAAATTAAGCGTGGCAGTCATAAAAATGTAGAGATACAAATGAAAACTAAATCAATAAAACGTAAACTCTATCCGGTACATAGTTAATACATTTTCCTAACTGTTTTGCTCCTCACATATCACAAATAATGACATGCACATTAGCCAATGCAGTGTATCTTATAACTTCGGAAAAATGCAATATGCTGCAGGTGGATGAAAGTAGCACAAAGCTCAATATCAGAGTCAACAACCACCACTGTCCAGTTATGCAAAACAAACCGGATTTCTCTCTGACAAGTCACTTTGATCAATCAATAGTTGAAAAGACACGCAGGTGGACATAGACCATTGCCCACCATAGAATGAATCGAGACGGCGCTCGAGATAAGTACTGGATCACCAACCTACAAACCCGCTACCCACGAGGTTTGAACAAGCGATAAGCATTTGTTTTCATTCCAAGAAGTTATTCGACTAAATGGTTCACTAATATTGGTCTGCTGGCTCACATGCCTGCTGCTACTTGTCAGTGTATGAGACTTACATACGATGTCGGATTAAGTGGACGAAATGTCTGTTTCTTAGTGTGTTGTACATTTTTTTCCATTCTTTATTTTCATATGTTTATGAATAATATTTAATACTACCAATCATTTTTTGCATTTTTATTTGCATGTACTTATCACAGTTGTCCCAATTTCTCATTACCGATTTTACGACATCCAAAATGATTGCTGTTGCATCTTTTTCGCAATTATGGTTCTAACATATTATTAAAAACATGACTGGGACCGACTATATTTGTTGATGTGTTCCTCTGTTTCATGTCTTGACGTGTTTGTCGCCCTTTGTCCGTCTTATGGTAGTGTGCAGCTCAGTGATGGACACATATTTATGCGTAGTTGTCTCTTTGCGTTTGTCCCATTTGTCAACCAGCTTTCTAAATAGAGTTGTACCCCTTGATTGTATAAGCAGGAGACGCTAAGCCTTACAGTACACATGGTTTCATTTTCCTTGATTTTGTTTTCAGGTTACTCCTTGTAAAACTTGTTTTGTTATTTTTTTTGTCATAGTGTTATCGATTTTGAGTTAAAATAACGGTTTTGTTGAAATATAGACATAAGGGCATTCTCGTTAGATTTCGGATGACATAGCCGAGTACATTGTTGATATTTTTTGAACAATTGCATTCTGAATATTTGTTCTATCGACATGCTACGGCTTGAAACAAATTAACCATTTTGTTTTCAAACGTTAAACTTTGAAAATTGAAACTCGTAATTGACGACTATTGAGACCTTTAGCCATGAGTATATTTAAGACGGTACGTTGTTAAGGCTATGCATTGTATACTTGGAAATTTTCGCCGCATTTTCACCTTTCTCTTTTTTGTGTGATTTTATTATTACAGCGGATACAAGTAGAAAACAACACTGTGTACGTTGCAATTAAAATATAAAAGAAGAAATTAACACTGGGCTTATATGGACTTTTTTCCAACGAGAGGCGAAATCTGTTTTGGCGAAAGTTTCTGGGTGTACAGTAAGTCAACGACCATAAACTGACCATCTTTTCAAAATATTTCCACAGTTAAATATCAGTTGATGTTGTTTTATTAATGAAACCGAAAAAAATGAATTAAATCTTTTTTATCAAACGAGAATGAAAGGAGATCACTTTCACATTAAGTATTGGCATGCTCTTTCAGATAGTTTATTACATGTATGTGAATAATGGTAAATCATTGAGGCATAAATACAACAGCATTACACCCTTGTATGGCAATCAGATGACATTCATTAATCAAAACAAAAACAGTGGCATTGCCTTTTTCCTCTTCAGGGGTTCTTCAGGAAAACTTTTTGTATTTGAGGAGAAATTGTGCTGTCATTATTAAAGTACAAAAGAATAAATAACGTCATCAATACGTCATACTCTAGACATATGCATAACACAATAACATAACTAACAACCGACAGGTAAAAATGAGTGAAAACATTTATGAAATTCGGCTTCCAAGTGTAACACCCAAATGTGTGGTAAACGTCCTATAATTATCGAATATAATATTTGTATTTTTAAGAATGGTTTGGAACTTACTGTGAAGGTTAATATGAATTGTAAGTAAAACAAATAACGTATGGAATTCATTGTTCTAGATGGGATGATTTCTACATTGGTCAAATTAATAATAAGAACAAGCATGACTGCACATGTACATCGACAACAAACTAAAATTGAATGGTTACGGAATTTACATACTTATTAACATATGCAGGCATGTGCCGGAAATTAATTTAATGTATTGCCTTGATATCAATTTTTTTATCCGATACAGTTATAAGAGAAAATAAAGAAGGTCAGTTAATCACAATATCAAAACCAAGTCGTAATAGGCCACAGAAGAATTTTGCGCTAGTTTGTCCACCAATCTTGTCACTATTGTATTGTAATGTAATTGTAATGTAATTGTGACGTTTGGTGTTGTCCTTTTTTAGATAATCCTAAACAGCCATGTGAAGTGTGAGAGCAGTAGTTTTTTCTAGTCCGTCGTTAGATCTTATTTGTTCTAAACATAAAAGTTTATATGTGTGTATTGTTACAGCTGTAAATTGATCCTAACAGACAAAGAAATAACATAAAAAGAACAAAACTCACCATCATATCATTAGCGTTTTCATCTCATCAAGGATATTCTTCAGACTGTTAGTTGAAAGAGTAATTATGGCGTCATAAACTATGACGTCACATAATACTTCACTATAACGACGTCCGCTATATACATACTTGATAAATCTTGGATTTCCCCCTAATGAACTTCTAAACAGGTGAAAGCGCTAGGGAGTTACTAAAAAGCTCTTGCCATTTGTTTTACATGTATTTATCTATGCATACATATTAATGATTATAAATTTTATACCTAGGGACAACCTAAAAGTAACGTAAGCTCAAGATTGTATTTAAGTTTTTTTTAATTCTATACATCTTAGGTCACTAATGAGTGTATGATGCCTGTAAAGTGTCATTCTCTTGCGTCGTTCACTTCCAGTCTAACCAATAGAAAATCATTCAAACTTATATTACCAAAAAGAGAATCAATAGCATTTTTGATTTTCAGCCCATTTGTCCATTTTCTTTTAATCGACATGTTATTTTTTATTGTCATTGTTGTTCTATTCTTAGCTTAATAATTTTTCAGTTTCCATTTGATCCTCACATTTTTATCTCTCCTAATGCTACAATTATATTACCGATAAAACTAAAAGAAACAATCTTTAACATGTATGCCGGAGGTCGCACAATGTCTTTTTTTCTCACATAAGGTAAATATCCATACATATATTCTCATCTTGATTATGTAATGATTTAAACAACACCTTTGAGTTGCATCTGACATCTGGAAACGGCTTACTACAGTTACAATTCTAGATATCAGATTGAAATATTTCTTGGTGTATGTTATATGTCTGACCGAGTCGATGATTGCTGTTGTACCGACGTGCACTTGAGTGAAGGTTAATATTTTATTACATATTTGTTGTTTTTCGAGCATTAATGCGAATGCTGC